TTCATTGGAATTTGTCAAACAAAAACGAGAGCAAGAATAAGAGAATAAAAATACAATGACAGGGACGATATGCACGTTAATGCACTTATGCAGTTTCCAAAGAGAAGCTGTGGGAGGAGTAACCATGGGTATAAACCAAGCCTTCCTGCCTATTGGAGACTGAGGTAATCTTTTGAAGCCACACCTACTGCTCTCCTCTGGCTACCCAGATTAACCTTACTCTTCGGCCTGAAAGGAGTGTTACTTTGTCTCTCCCTTCTCTTCGAAAACTTAGGAGTTTTTTACTTTCAGCAAAGCTTTACAACAGAGATTGCAACTGGAAATCAGCAAGATCGCCTCACCATCCTTCTGCTGTGCTCCGCGGCGCTAATTCAAGCTCCGGCTTGCCAGCAGATGGCCCGCGAGGCCGGCCGGTTGCGCCGAGGGGGTGGAAGTCCCCAGAAACTGCAGGGACGAAGGAAACGTCCACGCGGTGTCCGGAGGAGCCCAGGAGGGCCGAGAGGACCGAGAATCCTTCGAGGATCGCGGAAGTGGCTTCCAGAGGCGAAAGGAGACCCGTACGGCACCAGCAGTCGCCATCTTGGACCGCCACCATCTTAGGAGCACGTGATCAGCGTTCCTATACGGACGCCGAAAGCGCTAACAAGGCACTAGAAAGCCGGAAGAGGCTTCCTTTAGGCTCTATCCCGCCGGTGATCTGGGGGGTATTCCAGGGCTGTGCCTGCCGGCAGCTGAGGCCACAACCCAGCGGCAGAGGAGCAGGGAAGTGGATCCAGCCCCAGAGGACCTAATCTGCCCCTACAGCCGGCTGCAGAAGGAGGAGGTTGGTGAGCACCGTAACTGTAAGTAATGGCAGAGGCGACCAGAAGTAGGGATACCAGGCCCAGACCCCCAGGAGCGGTGGGCCCCGACGAAGGGACCTCCAGAGCAGTTTCCCCAGCTCCCCGAGGAAGATCCCCGGTGAGGAGGGATAAGGCCAGGGCCCCCAAGAAGGCAGCCCCCAGGAAGGAGGCCAGGACAACCAGGGCCTCGACTGCAGGCCTTTAGCCCAGGTTCAAGCCCGGGCAGCATCTCCAGCCTCACCAGGGGGTTCCCTTAGAGGGCACAGCTCCCTATCACCCCCCCCTTTCTCTGGCTCCCCCAGGGGACTCGCCACAGCCGATCTGGATCCCCCCCCCCCTGGATCCTAAGCCGGTAACAGAGTCCATGGGCAAGGGTAAGAGCAAAAAGAAAAAGGGACCATTCCATAGGCCCCCTGTGGCTAAGGAGGAGATTCCCACACCAGACATGTTCATGGAAGTGCTTAAATCGCAGTGGGTAAAACCAGGGTCCTTCCCCACCCCAGGGGGAAACGAGAGAAAGTTTTATAATCTCAATCAGACCTTTGCCCAAGCGCTCCAGGTACCTGAAGTGGACAACCCAGTGGCCACCCTGGCGTCAGCGTCAACGGTCATCGCAGGTGACACTGCCAACTGCCTCAAGCCGGAGGACAAGAAGGCAGACATCGTCCTGCACAAAACGTTCCAGGCTATCACCTGGGCCATCAGGGGGGCCGCCTCCACTTCTTTCTTTAACAGGTCCACGGTCCTGTGGCTGGAGCAGCTGAGGGGCAGGACTCCGGCATCAGAGGTTCGCCTCCTGCAGGACATATCCGAGATGCTGGCAGCAACGCAGTTCTCAGCGGACGCCACCTTGGACGCGGTAAAGTATGCCTCGC